ACACAAACACACACACAAACACAAACACAAACACAAACACAAACACAAACACAAACTGAAAAAGTAACTGAGGTCACTGAGCTCAACAACACAAGTGAGATATCCGAAGCTGCAAGTATGTTTTCGCACAGGCATCAAGTCTTGATCCTTGAGCCAACCGAAGTTGGTCATGCTGTCTGCACATCAAGTCTGGAGGACTCGGGAAGTGTGTATTTTCTCACACCCCCTTGGACAAAGTTTGGGAATTCCTAAGAACCCCAAGAACACAACGAAACCAAAGTTCCCAAACGAAGTCCACACTATGCACACTGACCAAAGTCTTTTTCACACGAGCTCTCCTATCTTCAAGCTTCAAGTGTGATGTGAAGAACTGCCAAAAGTTCACAAAGGAACGGCTCGCTGCAACTAAGTGCTCTTCGGCACTAATTGAAAGTTTCCGGCAAAACGGGGACCTATTTATCCCAAAAGTTCGCAAAGCAAAAGTAGGACCTAATCATCCTCAAAGATGCAATGCAAGTGCAGCCTTAAAGTGGGGATTTCGGCGCATCACTGCATGCTCGAAAGTTTTACTAACCAAAGACAGAAAAGTTACTGCCGCATGGTGAGACATGCAAATGGGAAGTCGAAGACAAAGAAGTCTTGGCGGACAAAGTGCCCATCAAAGCTTGGGCCGATGCAGGTCATACTGCATCATCCTCCGAACCAAGTGAGGATCAACCGTCTCGTCGTCACCAAGTTCAGCTTCTCCAGGTCGCAGCCACGCTTTGTGAAGTGGAATGTGGCCCAACCACAAATGGGTTTCCGCCTGGATAAAGTTGTGGTACATTTCCCCAAGTCTTGCAAAAGTAAGTGCCTGGTTTGTGCAAGTAAACGACACCAGGGTAGCGATCTCCGCCGGGTGGAAAAGTTGCAGAAGTGGCAGCTTGATGAAGTAATCTCGGTATCGTCTGTTCCATATGTTGCCTCCAGAAGACATCATTGCACCGAAAGTTTGACCAGAGATACTGAAGCCAAGTGCAACGAATGATTCTTGATACTCTGCTCTCCCAGGATGAAACTGAAAGTTAAATATGGTGAATAGTAAAGTTGATCGTAGGGAGAACCCTACATTCAACATCCCAGAAGTCCAAACCAAGTCGGCTGGGGTAATGACAAGCACCCTTTGTGTCACAAGTCGCTGCATAAGCCTTGCCCAAGTCGACCGCGGCAACACAATGTAACACGTCCACGGCATGAAGTTAATTTCTTGAGGAGAAAACAAGTGGACTCCCAGCATCTCGATTGCCAATGAAGTAATCCATTGCAGCTCGAAGGTAAAGTACAAAGGAGGCCCATGGACTGAATGATAAAGTCCTGGGTACTGCCTCGAACCAGGATGATAAAGTCCCGGAAAAAGCACGAACAAGAGCGGCACCACCAACAGAAAGTTGGTTCTCGGATCTCGTGGAATCAACAGAAGTTGCCGAATTGTAAGTCTCTCCTTCTGCAATCCACTGAAAAGTATCGACATAAAGACCTCATGTCGCCAAAAGTTGGAGAAAGTCGAAAATGAGGCGTAAGTGTCCTGGACAAAGGCTCGCTGATGCATCTCCAAAGTCCAATGCTGCGCCTCTTCAATCGCCTTCGGCGGCATTCTCTCCGGCTACCAAAAGTACTGCACCACTCTATTCTTCACGCAAGTCACGGAGGATTCGGTGAAGTGGCCAAATCGCGTAGGCCAAGCAAAGTCTCACCAGCTGGAAAAGTAGGTTGGACCAACCGCCAATTCTGCGCAGCCTTTCTGCGCGAAGTGACTGCGGCAAATCAACCAAAGTAAGCACTGTTCCAGACCACCAAGTTGTGCCCTGGACAAAGCGCAAGGCCAAGTACAACCACAAGACTCGCAAAGCCCTGCGAAGTACTCGAATTTCCCCGCAAGTGAGCTGCGGCTCTTGTTCCATTGCAACAAGTCTACTAAGGGAAAAGGTTTAGAGTTTAAGATAGGTTGGAGAGAGCCAGATGCGGCAAAAGCTTAAGTTGAACTCGCAGCTCCCGACATGTCAAGCGCAACATCACAACACTGGCAAGTGACCTCCACTGAAACGAATTAGCCCTAAATGTTTCTTCAGGGTAAAGGAAAGTTTTTTTTTCCAGGGTATGGAGAGTGGAAGGAGAAAGTTAGAAAGGTTTTTTTTTCGGATTTGTAGCTCTCGCAAGTTTACTCTCTCTCTTGTCTTTCTCCTTTTAGCCTGGGTGAAACGCACAAGTAGGTTACTCCTACATGGCGTCTCTGGGCCTCAAGCCCAAAGTGCCCACATGCCTTGCCAAAGTTTCTTTAGACACGTACTTCGTAAGTACATCAGCACTGTTCAGGGTACCAAGTACTTTGCGGATGATGACCATACCTGAAGTTACAAGCTCTTGAACGTACAAGTATCTTAACTGAACGTGACGCGTTTTACGCGAAGTGCCATAGCGCGATGCCATCGACTTACCAGCCGTGCTATCGGTATGCAAGAACAAGTGCACCTTTGGGATCAAGCGAGATTCCAAGAGAAGTGATCTGAGAAACAGCGCGTCCGCAGCTCCACCGCCGATTGCGTAAAGTTCAGCCTCTCCAGAGGAGAGTGCAATCGTTTGCTGCGTCCTGGAGTGCGACTGCAAGTTAACGCCAAGCAGGTAAGTCGCAACTCCGGAAGTGGAACGCCGTGTATCAGGATCACCAGCCCAGTCAGAATCAACGTAAGTGTGAACATCAAGAGAGGAATGCTTCTCAGACAACCGGATGTTCGGGCGAAGTTCTTGGACATACTCCTTGGTACCTGCAAGATACCGAAGCAAGTGCTTTAACTTTGCCCAATGATCCGTCGTAGGAGACGCAAGTCCACGCGACAACTCTTTCACGGCATACATGATGTCCATGCGCAAGTTGCACATCCACAAGAGCTGACCGACAAGTTTGCGATACCGTTTATGCTCCTCAGGATTAAGTGCTTCCGCAGTCTCGGAAACCTTCTTCAACGCATCCGTGCCAGGAGACGGAGCCGGTTTACAAGTGGACATCCCAGCCTCAGCAAGCATACCTTCAACGTAAGTCGCGGACATGTACATCTCAACGGAAGTCGGCGTGCGACGCATCTTTCTGCCAAGGAAAGTAGCCTCTGAACCTTCGACAAGCTCACCGGTTATACGCAGGAGCAACTCTTTCTGAAGTGAAGCTACAATGGCATCAACGTCCTTCTTTGCGCCGAACAACATCAAGTCGTCAACGTAGCACAACACATAAACCTTCCGACCTGCATGAAAGTAAAGGTTCGGATCACTCTTCATGCACTGGAAACCTTGCGCCTCAAGTGTAGCTGCCAAGTGGGTCTGCCACAGCGCAGGAGCATTTTTCAAGCCGTAAAGCGCACGCTTAAGTTTCCAAACCACACCCCCTTCGGGGTAATACTCTACAGGAGGAAGTACCCAAACATCGCCATCCACCAACGCATGCAAGAACGCCGTGGAGATGTCTGCCAAAGTGATGTGTCAACCACGCGCTACCGCCAAAGTCAACAAGGTCTTCAACGTCAACAAGCTGGGCGTAGACGCATAAGTGTCATCCGGATCATCAATGAGCTGGTCATAACCACGGACAACAAGTCGACATCGACAAGTGCCATCGCCTTTGCGAACTTTAACCCACTTTGTGGATATTACAGTCGCAAGTTGCTCTGGCGTCAGGTCTGACATTTTCTGCTCCGTGAAGACGTCGAAGTCGATCATGCTTTTCATTTCCTTGTTCATGCCAGCTTTTTCTTCTTCGTAAGTGAATTCAGGCGACTGCCAGAACAAGGGATTGCTCAAACGCTCAGCAAGTGAGATCTCTGTTTCATCTTGGTTGACGCACACAGGAACCTCAAGTTCCTGCTTCGTGGTGACGGCAGAAATTCTCAAGTCGAAAATTCGCATCTGCTGGTCAGGCGAGCGGACAAGTGACGAAATGCGCTGCACTTTCGTCGCTGCTTCAGGGACCTCTGAAGTGTCGCGCTTGCGCTCCGTCGTGACGCCTACGCGCCTTCGCGAAGTCGCAGGCTCAGAGGAAGCTCTTTCAGCGGAGGAAGTAGGTTCCTCATGACTGCGCTTGTCCTGCCTCTCTGCAAGTTCTTCAGCATCCATCGGTCCCTCAGGCACTGGCAAGTCGGCGGCCGTGCGGGTTTCCGAAGTCGACTGAAGCTCACGCAACATGTCTTGCTCAAGTTCTTGCGCCAGGTCACCAGCATTTCCTAAGTTTTCCGGAATGGCATCCGGATCGTCTGGTGGCTCAACCAAGTTCTCTCCAGGTCTCGGCTGCTGCGGTGGAAAGACAAAGTGATCTGTCTCAACTTTTGTGCCTCTAGGGTCCCAGGGCGTTGCCGTCAGGGACTGCACAAGTGCCAAGTCGAGCTGCTCAGACGGCGGTCTACGCCGAAGTGAACGGATCTTTATCACACCCTGGGGTGTCCCAACGAAGTGCTGGTTGGACTCTGTGTCTCTTCCGAGCCAAAGTCCTTCTTCCCAAGCCGCGTCCGATTTGGGAAATTTGCCAATTTTGCGAAAGTGAACAACCTCCGCAAATCGACAAAGTGCGCCGTTATACGGCTTTCCCCAGCGCTTCTCGAAGGAAGTAAGTCCGTCACTTTTGTGAGCATATCGGTTCATCAACCACTGCGCATGCTTTACAAGCCAAGTGAACAACGGATGGGTTTTCTGCAAGGTGAACCCAGAATACCTTCCCTCTAAGTCAAGCTTGAGGGTGCGTATTTGGGCATACAAGTTAGACTGAAGCACTCCAACTGCTCCTTGGGCTTGCTTCCAACCTGTTGGGGAATGACGAACCGAAAGTCCGCCTACCTCCGAAGTGAACTCAGCAACCAAAGCCTTAAGTGAGGGTTCGGGGTCGATTTGCAAGATGCCAAAAGTGCGCCCGATTTCAAGGATGTATCTCCGAAGTTCTGCCTGAGCATAGACAGAGCGGCCTTTGGCTGGAACAACGCACGAAAGTCCCATGCCCGACAGCAAGTCCACAGCGGTGAGGAGAGTAACCTGGGGCTCTTCAGGATTATCTCCAAGGAAGCAGTAGTCAAGTTGAACGACCGGCTGCTTCGTTTTCAAAGTCCTGCTGTGGTTCTGTTTGCTCTTTGCACGGACGCAAATCGGGCACCAAGAACGAAAAGGCAGGTGCGTAAGTTCATGCTCTTTACGCTCCGTGAGCGTCGGCTCCGAGGGCGCAGGAAGTCCTCTCGGTCGCCGGGCCGATGTCTCAAACAAGTCAGGTTCGGCCACCTCGGGAATCTCCTTGACATACAAGTCACGCTTCTCAAAGCAAGTCGCACCACCACAAGCAAAGGGTTCAACAACGTCACGATCTGCACCTTCAAGTGTCCAATCGTCTTCATCAACCTTCATGCTCCCATGATCGTCAAGTTGTATTGTAACCCGTGCTTTGCTTAACTCGCTCAAGTTCGGACCGCCTTCGGAACGCTCTGAAGGCACGAACAAGTTCTTTCGTGGCTGACGGTGAAGTCTAATCCACATGGTTGGCAACTGCACCCAAGTGTCGTGGGTGTAGGCCTCATTGGTCTGTGGATCCACATCATCAAGTGATCTCTTCACAAAGTTCTCAAGACCTTTCATGGGATCAACTGCTTCATCCGCCACCAAGTCAAACACTCGCTTTCGGAAAGTATCAGCATATTCACCATGATCTCGCAGGACAACTTCTGGACTAAGTTTCTGGGTTGAAGTCCTAGAACTTGGGACAGGCGGTGGCATTTCAACATGAACTTCAGGACGGGGCAAAGTTGACTGCTTGCCTACAAGTCTCCTACCTGTTGGTTTCGAAGCAAGTTTGAAGACGGTTTTGCCCTTGAAGTACTTATCCTGCTTTGCTCGGGGATCATCACTTTTTCGCCAATCATCATTCAAGGTTTTAGACGAACCGTCTTCAAAGTTCATGACTGTCACACGTTCACCTGTCAAGTCTTTCAACTCAACCGGCCGATCCTTGGTTCCTTCGGGAGAAAACAAAGTTGCTCGACCACGCTTGTGAAGCCTCGTCAAGGTTGCGTTGGCCTCATCAAGTACCCAACTGTCCGCGTGGTAGTACGTGGGCTTAAGGGTCGGCGCAACAAGTCCAGGAGGAGGTCTCACTGCGAACTGTTCATGGAATCCTTTGCTGAAGTCTGCATACTCATTCGGATCAAATTCAGCAAGCGTCGGACACAAGAACAGAAGTGAACCATGTCTTGTGACAGGAAAAGTTGCACCCGTGGGACCTTCAAGCTGAGATCCCTCAGATGTCAACACTGCCTTGCATCCTTGCTGCAAAAGTCTAGCGACTGAAATCACACTGTACGGTACATCGCACACATAAAAGTTCAACCAAAGTCGCTGACCATCCAACTCAAAGGCAACAAGCTTTCGACCATAGATCTGCAAAGTCTGGCCTGAAATGCTCTTAAGCGGAGGTGCTCGTTCTTCAAGTTTCAACAACGGGAAGTCCGGAGCAAAGTCCGGGGGACAGCAATTTGCTGCAGCACCGGAATCAAACAGGATCCAAGTCTCAAGTCCTGTCTCAACTGATGCAACAGCAACCTCATGCTCGGCCAAGTAGGGGTCATAGAAGGTGGAACTCAAGTGCTCCAAACCCCAATCGGACAACGAAGTCGGATTCGAGAGCGAAGTTTGATTCGCTTCATTCTTCAACGGCAAGTCGCACACAGGGGACAACTGCCAAGTGGCCACATCACTTCGTGCACCAAGTGAGCGACCAAAGCCATCAAACACAATGCTTCCACTCAACATGCAATCAAGCGATGCATCACAAGTTGGCGAAACGAAACACGACTGCGTACCAGCAAACATGCTCCCAAGTGTAATTGCCGCAATGGCAAGTCCAGAGGCCTTCGAAGTAGCCTTGGGTGTCGCCTTGGGCTTCGCCGCGGAGGAAAGTCTCGCAGGCGGCGTTCCCAAAGTGACAGCACTCACTGGGGCACCCGAAGTTGCCTTCGGCTCCGCAGCATGCGATGGCGGGGCTGAAGTAGCCTTCTCAACAGCAGGTGGTGGCGACACGACACTCCAAGTGTCGTCGTTCCAATCACTCCAAGTGGACGACCAACCATCGTCCCATGCAGGCCACCATTCCTCATCACTCCAACCAAGTCCTACCGCTGCGACTAAGTCATCGCTCCACCATTCTTCCTCAAAGTCACCAACTTGCCAAGTGTCATCGACTGACCAATCTTCAAACGAGCCATCCAAAGTGGCATTCTCATCAACCGCACTCACACGACCAAGTGGACAATTTGCCGAAACATGTCCTGGTTTGCCACAAGTCCAACAAGCCAAAGCATGCTGACCACGAAGTTTTCCTTTGCTCTTGCCTTTTCCTTTTCCTTTGCTTCCTCCAAAGTCCTTTCCTTTTCCTTTTCCTTTCTGTGCAGTGTGAAAACTCAAGTGTGGGTTCTTTCCTTTGCTCTTGCTCTTTCCTTTTCCTTTTCCTTTAAAGTAGCCGAAGCCACTTTTGCCGAAGCCTTTCTTTCCTTTAAGTCCTCCAATGTCCATTGGTGCTGGGCCTTGATTCGACGAAGACGAGTTGCTCATGATCAAGTGCCTGGACTGATAGTACTCGACTATCGTGGCTTTGATGTCTTCGTAAGTCGTCAAGGTCCGAGCATTCAACCTCAAGTGCTGCTGGAGCGCACCGGAAGTCTTATTCAACAACGTAGCGACAAGCACGCTGTCAGGCAAGTCAGCGCCGGTCTGTCGCTCATACTTTGTCTTGATCGTCTCCCAAGTGTTGAAATCCTGCTCGAACGTATGCGACCCAAACCGAAAGTCAAGCAACTGCGTCAGAAGTGAAACATGCCTCGCAGCATCTGGCAACGCAAACTTCTTGACAAGTCGACGCCAAGTCTCAAACCCATTCGAGTCGTAGTTCTGACGAACCACAAGCAATGCCGACTCTGACGTCAAGTTCGCAAGCAGATAATGCAACTTCCGACTGAAAGTGACTCTACCTGCCGTCGCGGTCTGATCAAGTGCTGCAACACCTTCTTCTGTAAGCACGTGCACCTCAAGTGCCTCATCCGTGAGCGGTGCCTCATCATTCTCGTGCTGTTCCAAGTACCTTGCAGCCTGTGCATCAAACATCGACAAGTACGCGCGAAACTTCCACGACCATTCTTCCCATTCCGCAGGTTTACCTGAGAAAGTCGGTGGCAACGGTAGCCTAAGCTTACCGGTGAAGTCGTTCTCTCCTTCAAGTGACATTTGGGCTCTACCAAAGTTCTACTGGAGCTTTCAGCTCCGCTACCATGAAAAAGTAACTGAGGTCACTGAGCTCAACAACACAAGTGAGATATCCGAAGCTGCAAGTATGTTTTCGCACAGGCATCAAGTCTTGATCCTTGAGCCAACCGAAGTTGGTCATGCTGTCTGCACATCAAGTCTGGAGGACTCGGGAAGTGTGTATTTTCTCACAAACACAAACACAAACACAAACACAAACACAAACACAAACACAAACACAAACACAAACACAAACACAAACACAAACACAAACACAAACACACACAAACACAAACACAAACACAAACACAAACACACACACACACACACAAACACAAACACAAACACAAACACAAACACAAACACAAACACAAACACAAACACAAACACACACACACACACCCACACACCTGGCATAACTCGCGGTGTACTCGCAGCACTCGCAGTGTGCACGCGGCACTCGCGGTGTGCGCGTGGCACTCGCGGTATACGCGTGGCACTCGCGGTATACGCCCGGCACTCGCCGGCGCTCGCGGTATATGTGCGGCGCTCGCGGTATACGCGCGGCGCTCGTGGTTGCAGCGCGGCACTCGCGGTTGCAGCGCGACACTCGCGGTACGCGGCATTCGCGTTACGCGAACACACGCCCACACGCCTTCACCCTTACCCCTACCCACACCTTCACCCGTAAACCCCCACCACCCACCCCTCCCCGACACCACCACCCACACCCACACCAACTGTACCAATTGCCAAGGATTGTAGAGGACTCAAGTTGACTAAAGCATCAAAAAGCATCCACCAGTAAGCTTACGATAGTAGTCAAAGGAAGAACTGCCAGGGCGCTTTCTGCGGCCCCTGGCGGCAGCTTGGCTTGGCGCAGCAACAGCGCTGGCAGCCAGCGACCAAGTGCGACGTGTCAAGTATGGTTTCTTATGGCTTTCCTTTTGGGTCCCGTGGTCTCGCATCTCTTTTTGCAAGGCCGCCGAAGTTTACAGCCACCCGAGGCTGGGGGTGTGGGGAGATGTGGGGAGGTTAGGCGGTTTCGGATACTACGGGGGACCAGTGTTGCCAGTTCTTTTGGCGTCTGACCGCTTTGGGGTCTCAGCTTCCCCTTCCGCGCTATCATTGAACTGTGCAGGCCTCCACATGGGGGCTTCGGATTCACGTGGCTGATGGGGAGCCTGTCTTCCCAGGTGGTCTGCTTGTGGAGAGCTGAAGCCTTCTGACCAAAGATTGCAGTTGACGTGCGGAACCGTTTGGTTCCAAGCCAAGCCTGTGTTTGTACCTTTGAGTCAGCGTGTGAAAGCCACCTAAGCCTAAGCCGTATTTTCATTTGAAAAGGTGGCGCGCGAAGGGTCGGCGTCCCTGCTGCCGCTGCAGGCGCGGTTGGCCGCTGGCGATGTCGTGGCCCCTAAGCGCCTTTCAATCAGAGCCCAGAGCCTCTCCACAGAAACCTAGGATTCCGAAGATATGGAAGTCTGGTTTAAAGTCTAGGGCCAAGTCTTGGGGGATGTTTACTGTGGTGGAGGTGGCAGTGGGAATCCTTGCCTGGGGGTTGGCCCAGCTGCGCCCCGGCGGCCACTGAGGCTTCGGAATGTTGAAAGTGTTTCGTTTTGTGGGAAAGGTGTGTTGGGGTAGCAGGTCTAGCAGGTTAACCAACCAGGATCTTCCTTCTTGAGCCTCGAGGGTTTTGTGTTTGGGGTGTGGGGTCGTGGGAGCTCCAAGCTTCAAAGCTAGTCAAGACACTGAAAGTCAGGGATTCGTGCGCTCCAGCGTGGTCGGCTGGTCACCACAGGCATTGGGATTCCTTGTTCAGGGATCTTCCACACGTGGGTCGGGGCTCTCTTGCCTGGCCGCTGCTCCTCGGGGGTTCGGAGATTCGAAGTCAACCAGATCCACTCTTCCTCCGCTGTGGTGTGTTGATCGCCACATTCGCCAATCCTTGTCCCCAGCCATCCCCACCTCGCCGCCTACCACCGGATGATTTGAACGTACTTCCTCCCCCACACGGCTGGGTCCTTGTGTCCTTGCCTGCGCATTGTCCACCCGGCCCTCAGCTTCAGAACCGACTGTTCGGTTCAGGCCTAGCCCACTGCCGCTGCGTGCATCTGCGCCCCACCTTGAAGATCTTGGAAGCTTGCCACTCGCCTTTGGAGAAGTTCCGACACAGGTACCGGAGGCTACCAAGGCCACTGTCGTGACAAGGGAGGTGGAAGTTGTTTGGTCAGGCTGCGCAGCCCAGCGCAACCCACAGGTCAAAGAAACACAAAGAAACCCCACGGTCCTTGACGGTCCTTGCCTTCCTAAATGACAAGAAACGAATGCCCTCATGGGGGAACCGACCCAAAAGTCACCGAAAACAAAGACGGAGTAACCAACTGACTAAACCTCCGTATACCTCCATGCTATCCGGCCTGTTGGACGTCGAAAGGGTCTCGCTCGTCGCTGATTCTGTTGCTGTCTCAAGGTCAAGTCCATGATGGTCCATACAACAATTTCTCCCTTCTTTACGTCTTCTTGCCTTTCCCGGTAGGCCCCTCCTACGTCTCTTTCTTTCTTTGTGGGCTGTAGGAGTTACCAGCTATGGCGAGGGCCCAGAGTCTCAGAAACTGCTTCACGCTTTCTTGGAGCTTCTCGTGGGGGGGAGAGCTGCTTGATGCTTGTGTCACCAGAAGCTCTTCTTCGAGTCTTCATGTAAGCCTACTTGAGCCTTCTCTCTGTTGATCAACATATATATCTATAATCCCTTCCCCCTAATACTAAAACCCCCATGTATATGTATTATATGTATATAACACACACGCCTGGACCACCTACTTTCCCTGCATTCCCTAAACCTCCTACCAAGTCACAAGGCTCTTTTTGAATACCAAGGTCGAGGGCGCTGGCGCAATTGCCCTCCGGTTGCTGCCGCTCGGTGTGACACGACAGTGGCAGGGCTCATCCCCTTTGGACGCAGAACGGTTTAGGATTTCAAAGGCTCTCGGGCTGGCTTTCTAGGAACATCAGGGCTTTTCAGGGGAGTTGCATCATTTGCTCCCACTTTGTTCCGATTTGCTCGAAGTGATGGTCTCCCGTGCTTGTACAGTCCCGCTTTTAGCACCATGGGTGGTGGGGCGTCTTCGAAGCTGGTGGAAGGTGTCAAGAACTCCAGCCAAAAAGAACTGAACGAGTCAATGCAAGATCTCTCTGGCGAAGAACGGAGCAGGATCTTGTCAGCCATCACCATGCTAGAGGTGGCCGGGAGCTACCGTGCTGACACCTCCAATGGTGATTGGGGGGATTACAGTATCAAAGTCACGATCAAGAGCTCTGGCGATGCCTCTGTCAAGATCTCCCAGTGCTTCTTCCGAGACAGCCCAGGCGAGGATTTCTTCTACGAGGGTGCCCTCAGTGCAGCAGGTGATCTGCTGACCTTTACCTCTTCCAAGGTGGGAAGCGTTGCGAAAGTTCAAAATGAGATCTCTAAACGTATAAACCGCAATCCAGTTTGCGAACCGACTCCGTGCTCGTAGTTGAGCCAAGGTTACGAACTCGCTCGACACTCCGTTTGAAGACAAGGTCGAGACTATGAAGTTCAAGACCCTCGGCTTTCGTTTGAACATCGAGACTCTTTGTGTTTTTTTTGTTTTTACCCTTGTTGTTTCTGCTCTAATCACCGTTGACTTTTAGATGGCCTGCTCACCTGCATGCCTTCATGCGCCTTCACCGTACCTACGCGATTCGAAACTCATACGTTCATCTACACACAAGTACATATAAACATAAGTATAAATGTAAATATCAATATACAATTAATATAAAAAACATATGTATATACATATATATAGAGAGAGGGAGTGCGTCGGAATACAGGACTGTGTTTTTCAGGTCCAAAACACATATTTTCATGAATTTGACCTTATTTGTGACCATACTTACAATACCTGCATGCATATTATGAGAACATCCACCCGGATACATGTAATTAAAAAACTTAAAACCTTGAAGCCTTGAAGAAATTTGAATGGGAATCTTCATCCATTTAATTTTCAAAAAATCCTTGAAAATCTTGGAGAAATTTGAATTATAGTCTTCAAAAATCTAAATGGGAAGGGCCTCGGGGCCCCCCCATACCCATGTAATTTGCTTATGGCTCTGTTATGTTACGCCGCACTATGTCGTGTCATCACTTCATGTTTCGTTTCTATGTTGCATTAGGCTGCAATGCGCATGGATGAATGACATGTGTGTGTGCACCGTGCATGCACGCGCATGCACATGCATCACGTCCATACAGTACCGGAACAACAATTGGCCTGAAGTGCACAGAGGATTCAGGGAGACGGCTCCTTGGCACGGCTCAACGAGGACGGCTCGGTGGCGCAGATACAAGGGGGCTACGATGGCACACCCGTTCCTCGCTCTGCCAAGCAAAAGATTGTAAAATGGTTTAACAGTGCTTGTGTGTTGGTGTTGTTGGTGTTGTTGTTGTTGTTGTTGTTGTTGCAAATGCTTGTGACATCCGAAAACATGGTCAAAGCAGTTTTTGTTACGCTATGGTACTTCACATGGGCCTAGACGCCCACGCCCCATGCAGGAACCGGCCATTCTCAAGAAGATGAGTGCGTAGACTACCAGCTTTGTGCATGCCTTCGGATTTCCATCGCGCGCAACAGGCGCAGCGAGGGTTTGCCGACGCGCAATGTCTGGACATAAACGGGTGCATCTTTACACGAGAACCAGTGCTCAGCACGCCGAAGCCGATTTTGGATGCGCCGAGGTGTCCGCCGTGCTAGCCACAGGGAAGAAGGCCCGGAGTGCTGCTCGCTTTTGACTGAGCTTTCAAGAGATCAGCCTGCACAGGGTGGTGCAAATTTCCCAACCGATGAAAAAAACAAATGCTGCTTTATCCCATTGCTGTTGCAGACGGGAGCGGCTGATTCAAATTGTCCTACTTGCCCCACTTCTCCCACTTCCACACAACTCTTGCCGCAGTCGGATGCGAGTGAGGCATGCGGGGCACGGTTGGCAAGTGGGGCCAGTGGGGCAAGAAGTAGCAACAAAAGTCAGCGGCGCGGTCCACCTGGTGACGGCATAACTCGCCGACCTTGCCTAGCTTGCCCCATCGAACGGCAGTTGTGTGGACGTGGGATAAGTGGGGCAAGCGGAGCAAGTGGCAGGAAACAGTTGGCAGTCCACTTGCCTCATTTGGTGGCGTCAGAATTACGAAATTGGCCTCACCTGCCCTGCTTGTCCCGAGTAAGTGTAAGAGTAAGTTGAGGTGGGATATGTGGGCAAGTGAAGGAAGTGGGACCAAAAATAAGCTAGCGGCCCTCCTGTCTAGCGAGCAACTAAGTTCCGACGATGCACATGCTTCGATGCGACCCGAAACACCAGAGCCGATCCCGAGACCTTTCCCCCCCCCAACCTCCGGCCATCTCCAGCCGGAACCCAAACCCCTCTACAAACCCCATAATTTTTCCGGTCCCTGCAAACCCCAAACGCTCCTTATAAAACCTATAAACCTGAGATCGGGCGCTGGAGGTGCGAGAAGCTTCCTTCGCCCCTGGTCGCTTGTGCTGGTGGCCTTGGCTTTGCTGCATCCGGGAGGCCATTCCGCGGATGCTTTCGCAGGGCAAATACTACGAAACAGGACAGACTTAATAATCACGAAAGCAAGCGTAGCTAGATTGAGTTTTAATCGCAGTGGCAAGGGAACCGGTCCTGCCCCCCGGCGAGTTGTGTTTACCTGAACATATCGAGGAACATGGGAGGTGGGGGGGTCCTGAATCATCAATTATGAGGTAAACTGAGGGGGTGGTGGCGATATACTCGCAGTCGTTGCTTTCGGCCTGGGCGGCATTGTCAGTCTGTTCGTACGACAAACCGACAATTCGACCTAGGTGGTGTTGGTGTGTGGTGGAGTGTGGATGATACCAATACATCAATATCAATATGATAATTTACTGATGCATTAATATTAATGAGGAGAGTGCAATGTAAGTACCACGACAGAATAGGATAACGATCACGAAAGCTAGCGTAGCAAGGCTTGAGTGCCACTCTGCTTTAGCAGGCTCACAGGTCGGATTTCTCAGTGTGGCGCGAACTTCTCGAATCTATGAGTTCGAGGGTTTGGTTTAGGGTTAAGGGGTTCTTGAGCTACAGCCATAGGTCGCTGCCTACACGAGTGGGCGTTGTCTGAGGCGTGCTTTGGAAGGCTCCACGGACCTGGATCGCGGGCGCATGTAAAAAGCAGGTAAAATGGACATTTCGTCCGAGGCCATCAATAACACATTTGGGGTATATTTGAGGGTCACGCGGTCTGAATGAGCACCTATCCGATCTCAAGAGCATGTTTTTGGAGAGCTCCGCTGACCCTGAGCACATGAAGTTCGAAACCAAAAACGAGAGCTGCAATGCGGTCTTGGAGGCTTTCCTTAAGCATGAAGGCAAGGACGAGTGGTTCCAGTGCAGCGTGGGATGTTTAGAAGCCGTGGTGTGATGTATTTCGGCTGCGTTCATTTGGGGAACTGCTTGCCCGGGTCTACACTCACCGCCGCGATTTTCAAGCACATTCTTGTTTGGATGACTCACGTTCACTGGGGATTCATGTGAAAGTTGCTTTTTGGCATACAGCGAAACAAAATATGAACAGCTGCAGCGTGGGATGCTTTTGGCTGCGTTCACTTGGGGAGTCTAAACTCACCACCGCGATGTTCAAAATCATTCTTGTTTGATAGTTCTGGGTCGTCATGTTGATTCGTCTAGATGGGGGAAGAGCTTCGTGCTACTGTAGGTGTTTAGATGGGGGAAGCATGTGAGGCATGGGCCCGTCTCACATTCGACGGGTCCCAGTAGTATATAAATTCCATAAATATTCAATATCATAAGATCATAATATCAGAATATCAGAATATCATACTTGAATAATCTAACAATGGAATGTCGCAATACAGTAGTATAAAATCAACAATGTCGTAATATAGCAATATAGAAATCTAGTAAGAATATCATAGTAGAACAAGTTAATTGTAACGCTACGCGACCCGCCTCGGCCCGGCCCAGCGCATCCGCGTGAGCACGGTGATTCCGCAGCGCCCAAGTCGCTGGACCTCAAGCAATAAGGGTTGGGTTTAGGGTTTAGGGTTCCGGGTTTATGGTTTATGGTTTATGGTTTATGGTTTTTGGGGTTTAGGGTTGAGGTTTAGGGTTGAGGGCTCAGGGTTGATCGTAAAGTTGAGCCAGGCCCCTCAACCAGGGTGGCAGCGCAGGGGGGCAAGGGGTGGCCGGGGGGGGGGGGGAAGGCAAGGGGGGGGGGGGGGGGGGGCAGGGGGCAGGGAGGGGTGGCAGGGCGGGCGGGGGGCCTGCTAGGCTGGGCTTCAACTGGCCCTGGTCCTGGCGAACCGTCCACTTTCAGATTGTGGTCGCCCATGGGGGGGTACCATTTCCAGGTCAAAAGAGGGGTCCGACGTATGGTTTTGGGTTTAGGAGGGTTCTGGTTCTGACAACCCATACACCTTCGGCCCGAGGCCTCGGCGGATAAGAGTATAATGTATAGTCACACGATATTAACCCACTACAAGTATCTAATAACTTGATATAATAATCCAATCATATATTATCAGAACAATATAGCAATACAATATACCAAAACACCAGCGAACTGCCATAATGTGATCTTATGATGCACTGATAAAATTATAGAAATTGTGCTAATGTGATAGTCTGACTATATGATACTTGTAAACGCTTGCGCGCCCCGCCTCCACAGCCGGGGCTGACCCAACACGGGGTGTAGCACGTACAACTGTCCTGAAAGGTTTTGAAAGGGGACGGTCTCAAGGGGAGGGCTTCAAAGGTCCTGGGCAGAAGAGGGGGGGTCCAGGCCGTCTCAGAAGGGGTCGCAGGGCACCACAACCCACCCGGGGCGGGGGGGGGGGGGGCGTGCAGAAAGTTAAGGGCGGAAGCTACCAGTTCTTGAGGCGTCTTGGCTTGAAGCCCCAATATGGTAATATGATAGTAGATAATGTGATAATATGATACAATAATATGAGATGATGAGCTTGGGCCAGGCTGTTTGCTGCTGTTGGTCGGCACCTGCATGGCCAGCGGCTTGAGTACTGTCAGTGCTAGTGGGTGTAAAGTTCCTTGTCTTGGGTCTGGGGCTTTGGCTTGGGGGTACGATTAGGTATTCAGGACTTCAGATGGGCCGACGATTTCCGCAGTCGTATCAAATCGATGCTGCCAGCGACTCAGGGAATTCTGGCCAGGCTGCCCCGCGGCGATCCGGCACAGGCGGGAGTATCGAATCGCAAGTAATTATGGCGTTTGCGTATCAAAACAGTCGCACACCAGAAGCGGGAACATGCAACAACAAACCCACGCTGTGCGATTTTATGTAGGAGCTGGAGCCGTGCAGAAATTGGCGTTGAGGCACCTTTGCTCGGCCTCACGTCGGTTCTCCTGGGTCCGTTTCTGTTGCGCTCAACTCGGCAGAGAGGCAGAGCTGAGGATCCCGTAGAGTAGCTGTTCTGAATCACTCTTCGTGGCCTTCAAGCTGCTACAGTCCATTAATTCAAACACTCCAGACCAAGGTGCCACTTGCCATCCATAGTCTTCACGGTCATCGGCCTGAACTTCCTTTGGTGCTTCTTGAAGCTTCCTGCGGCCTGTGCCACCAGGTTCTCGAACACTTCGTTTGCGCGATTCACAGATTAACCAGAAACGGAGCACTTATCCTTATCTGACGAAGACGAAGAGCTGTCTTGTCGCGACTTCTCAGTGAAGTGAGAAGTATAGACGGGCATAATGTTAGCGCTGCATGTGTATGGAGCCTCTGAATCAAAGCTTTTCTTGGTGCCGCATGGATGGAGTGGCAGATTCCACAAGTTCTTGCATCATCACAGCAGGGTTTCAAGCCTCCGACACGGGCCCAAGGAGCATCTTGAAAGTACCCGAACGTACATGCTCTTAGAAACTTCTGCCGCGACCCACCCGCCTTCTGCCGTGCAGAGATCCCTCAAAGGTTTGGCTTCTGCTTGGCCAGCAGCACCAAGCTTCAACCCCACCCCTGCAGTGGGGGCCTCTACATTGCTTTACATGGGGAAATAGGCAGTACGAGGAGGCGTATGAATAGCTCTGTCCGCTACACTACAGTATAAATGCTTCGAATGCTTGCAAGGCGGGCCTTGGAGGAGGCCTTGACCTCCTCTCCGCATGCCGCATCGGTCTGGGCGCCACCCCAAGCAGCGAAAGCTCCGCTTAGGTCCAAAGGGCAGCTTTCCTGTAGCGCTTCCAGGCCTTGTATGGAATGGATTTGGTTTGAATCCGTAGCGACAGAGGTAGGACGTTCGAAGTCATGTCAGGCCCCCTAATCCCCGCCCTCTCCTGTCCCGATCTCAAGTGCAACTCCACAGCACCCCAGCAGTTTCGAGGTGCATCTAGCCTCCTGCGAGAAAACATGTGGCAGAGCTTATTCTATCGTTTTTGATGACTGTGTATGAGAAGAATCCTGCAAGCATTGGTGAGTGCATATACATATATATAAATGTTGGGTGCACTTTGGTCGGGATACG